ACACACACACACTTTGGGTTTCTAAAAAATATTCATTTTCATTTGATCTTTGATCCGCCCCCCCTTCCCCCGCTCACGGTATATCTTCGGCGGAGAATCGTTCGCGTAATATCCTCAGGACTTTGTTCGCGTAAGATCATATCAATGGGAGATCGCGATCCTAGCTTGACGTAAAGACAATTTTCATATCTTCATCGGGAGATTGTTCGCGATGTTAGCAATAATAAAATGCAGTTTTCATATTAGTTCAAGGAACTTAGTTTGCGAACGATCGTCAGCGGGAGATCATTATTTTAACCCCCCTTCCCCGCTCACGGCATATCTTCGGCGGAGAATCGTTTGCGTACTATCGTCAAGACTTTGTTCGCGTAAAATCGTCAGAGGGAGGTCGTTCGCGATCCGAGCGAGACGAAAAGGCAATTTTCATATCTTCTTTGGGAGATCGTCCGCGATGTAAGCAAGAATGAAGTGCAATTTTCATATTAGTTCAAGGGATTTAGGGAACTTCGTTCGCGGAAGATCGTCAGCGGGAGATCGTTCGCGATCCTTGCTCGACGAAAAGGCAATTTTCACATCTTCATCGGGAGATCGTTCGCGATGTAAGCAATAATAATATGCAGTTTTCATATTAGTTCAAGGAACTTAAATTGCGGAAGATCGTCAACGGGAGATCATTATTTAACTCCCTGTAAATTTTTAGGAAGTTACAGATGGTATTTTTAGAAGGCCTGACACTCAATCCTGGGAAAAGCCTTGCATGCAACAAACGTTCCCATGTGCGTAATTTTTTTTAACATGTCGCGTCCAGGTTATGATGCAAGGTTGCAATTAGGCTTATCTTGATCCTTCTCCTCTATCAGGAGGTATGTTTCTCACCGAGAAAATAATTCTCAACATGTTTTCGGGTACAGTAAGTTAAATATAACTAAATCGTGATGCACTAATAAATAGATTATTATTTACCACCAGAAAATGACTTAGGAAGTAGTAATAAATATCCCACCATATAGGAGGGTCAAAGACAACAGTCGCTAAGGATAAAAGCCCAAATGCTGGATTTTTGAAAATTTCGTCATACCCAGGAGTCGGGGAGAGGTAATTTTGAAAAATTAGTCGGATTTACTCAATTAAAATTATTAATTAATTTTTAAGCGACGAAATTTTCAAGACTTTACCGTAACGTATTCAACAGCAAATCAAAATATGAAGTTCTTGTGCATCTGGCAAAATTGTACTCACTCAGAAATCCCCAGAAAAAGAAGTTACTTTTATCAAGATCAGTCTAATAAACTCAAATTATTTTCACACAACTTACCTGAGGATTCATCTCCATTTGGAGTCTTGACATCTTCCGGAATGTTCTTGGTTGGGGAGATGTTCAGACTGAGGTTGGCCTTCTTCCTGTCCTTCTCCGTCTGACTGACGATACTGACGACTTCATACGCCGCCTCATCGCCATCAGTGCTCTCAACCTGGTAATATGTATAAACATGGTACTAAAATCAAGCCATTACTACTATGATTTCATTTTCTTTACTAACATCTTTATTCACTGTGGTGCTTACCCAAGATTTGTATGATACTCTATTTACAGAATTAGTTTATTATTTTTTTTTTTTTTTGTTGTTCACTTCTTTCTTCAGGGCTCTTGCTGAAAGATTTTCTTTGAAATATCAAAAGATTTCATATTTATACTGTATACAGGGAACCAATAAAACATTTCATGATCATTTCTGTGTATTTCTCCACAAAAATTTCGCAATTTTTTTCTAAATGCATGATAAAGAACAGGCCTTTCTTTTCAGTAAGTGGTTTCTTCTAATCACAAATTACATGATTTCATGATGATTACATAATTTATCTAGGATGATGCCTAACCATGATTCTTTTCTCCAAATACATCAGCTTTTTTCTTTATCTTTTTACACACAGTTATTATTAAAATATACAGACTCTGAGTTATTACTAAAATAAGTCCCTACAGGACAATTACTTTCTATATCAATTATCATTTATTATGCAACTTAAGACTATATTTTCATTCATGATCACAAACCTCCTTTAGTTTCAAATGGAACTTCTCCTGAAGTGGCTTTTTGTTGATGTACCAGAAGCGTTCATTCTGGGGGAAGATTTTGGCCTTGGTTTCAATCACAAAGCGCACTGGTTCCCGTATACCAGCAATAACCAAATCTACAGCCACTGTCATGAATACACGAGTGTCTGTAAAACAAAAATTAATAGGATCATGTAAAAAGACATTATCTTCACATCAGTAGCTGAAAGATAAGTTGTGCTACAAGAGATTTTCCCAGTTGCAGAAAATTGCTTATGTTGCCAAACAAATTAGTCCTAAATCTTTCAATCTGTTTCTTAAAATTAGATGTAGATACATTTGCTATAGATATTATACGATTCCATGCTATGTAATGATTAGTTTACAAATAAGACTTTCTACAAAACACTTCAGTCTAAACAGTCCATTAGTTCCCCATTTTCAAATGTTCCTTTGGGGATTCCTGCTTGGTAACAAAAATCAATGCTTATACGGACATCGTGTCAATATAATTGTTTTCAAGACCATCAGTTTGCCACACACACTTGCAAATCCATAGATTCCTAGTGCACACAAACCTTTGGGTGTCTCCGTATTTAGTATCCCAAATGCAGAGTCCTTGGGATCCCAATTACCAGAGATAATGTACACTTTGCCATCGTTACCCTGACCCATATGGACCTACAGTAAATCAATATTACAGTATTTGAACATACTCAAAGTTCAGTAAAAACTATCTCTGTGAAAATCTGAAAGAATGCACACTGTCAAATAAAGACTTAGAAGACATCAAATTAAAATTAACAACTATGCCATAACATGACCCTGAAGTATGAAAAAATATCATATTCAAATTGAGCCAATCTTACTTCACATATAATGAAACATTCCAATATTGTCTTTCTTCTCTTCTTATTTTGTGTATTTCTAAACTTTAAGACTCCTACTATTCTCTGCATGAATGTCAGTGCTTCAATCAACAATTCCTTACCATGTCCAGTAGATGCATGTCACTGTGCTTTACATTGCGTCCTGGACTGATTAACATTCCAAAACATCTGCAAAAGACGAAATTCAAACATGGAAATAATGCTTGGCTACAATTAAAACAAACAATGTAATAACTTCAAATGTGCAATAATTCTTCAATAGGGGCATCAAAGATAAATCTAATGATTTCTAAAAATATTCCATAAGCAATATTCCATGTTATTTTCTTATCAAACTAGAGGATCAGAGAGGCGATACCGCCTCTGGATATTGTACCACCAGCTAGAGTAAGTGCATTCCTATGGAACCCCCCCCCCAAAAAAAAAATGGACACCACCACCAGTCTTGTGTTTGACAAGCTCTATAAAATACAATAAACAAGAGTTCTCAAAATATGCAAAAGAGAAAACAGTAGGCAATCTCTGCTAGTTTTGAAGATATGAGGAGCAAGAACATATGCAGAGTTCAGTTTGTGGTGAAAAAGTAGGTCAAAGGTCAATTTCAAGGTCACAGTATATGACTTCCTATCTAAGTTCAATAGTAGCTATGGGCATTTCTTTGCCAATTTTGGAGATATGAAGGCCAGGAAACATGCAAAGTGCAGTTCATCGTAAATAGTAGGTCAAAGGTCAATTTCAAAGTCACAGTATATGACTTCCTATATAAGTTCAATAGTAGCTATGGCCATTTCTTTGCTAATTTTGGAGATATGAAGGCCAGGAAACATGCAAAGTGCAGTTCATGATAAATAGTAGGTCAAAGGTCAATTCCAAGGTCACAATAAGATTGCCAGTATATGACTTCCTATTAAAGTTTAACAGTAACTATGGTTGTATCTCTGCCAGTTTTGGAGATATAAGGGCTGGAAATTTTGCAAAGTTCAATTCATGGTGAAAAGTAGGTCAAAGGTCAATTTCAGGGTCGTATTTAGATTGCCAGTATATGACTTCCTATTCAAGTTCAATAGTAACTATGGGCATATCTTTGCCAGTTTTGGAGATATTAAGATCAGAAAAGTTGCAAAGTGCAGTACTGAAAAGTAGGCCAAAGGTCAATTTCAAGGTCACAGTTAGATTACCAGTATATGACTTCCTATTCAAGTTCAATAGTAACTATGGGCGTATCTCTGCTAATTTTGGAGTATTTCACATTTTCCCCACTGAATATTGCGATATTGTAATTTTTGATATAGCGCAACGCCTAAACCATATCGAAAACAAAAAATGGACACCACCTCCAGTATTGCACTTGACAAGGTCTA